AATTAATTCATTAATTATTCAATATAACAATAACATATTAAACCACCATTAGCCTTTTTGGTATTTGTATTGTTTGATTTTTATGTTGGTATTCCAAACTGAAAATGCAATTCTTTTCAGTTTTAATAAAAAATTACAGTCAGTCAAACTAATGTTACAACAGTTAAAATTTATATTACTCATAAATCAAAAAGTGCTATTCTAAAGACCAGCAAAAAGAAAATGATCTAGGCAAAGCATTGCAGTTTTTTTTTGGGTGAACTATCCCTTTAAGAATATCGAGGATGTAATACAACATTTGTACACTAGGGAGCGCTTAATACACACCTATATAAAATAGGCATGACAATTTAGCCTAGCCTTAATAAGTGGAAATAAACAAGTTACCAGTAATAAAGAAAAGGCAGAGGTTTTGGCTGAGGCATTTGTAAAGGTGCATAGTAATGATAACATTTCAGAAGAAATGAGGGAAAAAAGAGAACAAAGATTAAGAGATAATCCAGATGTTTTAATTCAAAAAGTTTCCTCGGAAAGTCCAATGGATGCCATATTCACATTGAATGAACTAAAACAGGCACTGAAAGGGGTAAGACATACTTCTCCAGGGAAAGATGAAGTGTGTTATGATATGATCAAGCATCTATCAGAAAAAGCATTAAATATAATATTAAAACTTTACAATGAAGTATGGAAATCAGGGAAACTCCCGTATTCGTGGAAACAAGGCATTATAGTACCTATTGCAAAACCTGGGAAAGACCAATCTATTCCGATGAACTACCTAGCCTACAAATTGACGTCATGACGCAAAACCTCTGCAGTGTTGTTCGTGAAACGTGGCTGGCTGGTTTTAGGACCTAGAGTTTGACAAATCAGTGAACTGGGTGTGGAGAGCTGCTCTATCCATAAAGAACAGATCGCCTTTGGGAAACTGCTTCTACTTTTATCTGTTTACCTGAGCAGCGGGTCTACTCTTCCTCTGTACCTTTCCGCTGGACCTATTCAGCGTCTTTGTTCCGGTAAGTTCTCGTTTAAACGTAGTCTATTTTGAAAACATTGCCCATTCCTGATGTGCGTCCGGATTAAACCACAATGGCCTGAAACTGTAACTTTAAATTAGATTTTACAGTAGTTAAACCAAGACAGCAGCATAAACGTCATGTTTTCGTATTAACTCAAATAACTTAGGCCTGTAACGTAGCGTGCTGACAGGAAATGGTTTGTTTATTCAGTGCAAAAACCATAGTAACCACAGGTAAATACCACAAATAGTGTGTGTGTGTGTGTGTGTGTATATATATATAAAAATTTAAGGGGGTCTGAATACTTTCCGTACCCACTGTATATATATGTATTTATATATCTCTATATCTATATATATATATAAAATTTACTTTTTGAACTACTAGGTAATGATAAAAGTTTTGTAGTGAGCTGACTGCCACAGTTATCGGTTAATGTGCATCTAGTGCAGTATATTAAGTTACAAACATCAAAAACATTGCATAATCATATGTCCAATCATTTTGTTTAGAGTGCTCAAGATGTTTTTGGCCAACAAACTTATTAAAGGGTTCATAGATGTTGTCAGGTAAGTCAGTACTCTCACTACTGCTTGTCCAAAGAAAAACAAAATACATTTTCAACAAATCATCAGTGATGATATCTCTTTTTTTCCTTTTCCATGCATCACAGCAACGTCGACCAGTTTGTTCCTTCTGATCCTGTAAGTTTGCATATACCTATATTTATTTGTTTATTTATTATTTTTCATTGTGTTGAATGGTTGAGTTTGTGCCATGTCATTAAGCACTTTGGCGAATCCAGGAAGTCAAGTATAGTGGTCCATTGATTTCTTACCTTGAAGAAGTTTAATGCACTTCTCACCGTACTTAACTTGTCTGCTCTTCCAGCCTCCTCCTAGAAGACCACTCACATACGTAAACCAGAATGAAACCGATGAAGAAAGGCAGTTTCGCAGGGTGTTTCAACAACTAGCAGGGGATGTGAGTAAACCTGCCATGGCCGCAGCAGACCTTTAATCTGTTCTTTCTGATGTTGTTTTAAATTTCCATTTTATTGCAGTGTCTGATGCAGTTTAAACAGTCTGAATTCAGTCAGGAGCCTAATTCACTTTTAGGAAGTTTCTGTGTTCATCAGTCTCTTATTTTTGGGAGATTAAATATCCTTTTCTATGATCTGGGTCTTAATGTACTCTCCCATACCTCTCTAATGGTCCCATCACCGGCATACAAATGTCCATCGAGGTATTTGAGTCTGGCTACAGTTTTACAAATCAGACACTTCAACACTTTCATCACATGTTCTGGTTTCAACCCAGAAACTTCCACAACTTCCACAGGCATTGTCTAAATTCCATCACTTCGCTCCACCCAGCAAGGCTTTCCCTCTGTTTTCAGAAAAGTCTATTGCCGTTATACAGGCTTGTATATGTTATTCAGAGTTACTGATCTTCAAACAGACAAGACGAGTGCGGTTATACCATGCAAAACTAGTCCAGGGGCAAGAAGTATGACTGGATCTTTCTGCCATTGTGAAGTAGACTGTCCCGATGGGTTTTGTTTGTGTTGAGTCATAGAGGGGCGTGGAAGCCTGCTTTACTAAAGTATTGGATTCATTAGATGCAGGAGTGCTCTTTAAAGTTAAAGAAAGCACTCTTTCCTTTTTATGCTAGTGGAAAATTACTGTCAAAACACGATTAGTATTAGAGATATCACATAAGTGATTTTTCCTGTCACATAATAGTTTGCACCATTATATAAAACCGTGGTTCTCAAGCTTTTTGACACAAAGATCCAAACTGTACCATTATGACAACAGTGTTTGTTTTCAAATTTTATTAGTTGATATAGTAAATTAAATAATTCAGTTTGTGATTCTATAATATTCCACATTTAGATATTGGAAAATACATATTTCTTCATATCTTGATATTTGTGTGTGTGTGTGTGTGTATTCAGCATTTTAATTATGTTTTAATTCATTTATTAAATGAATTAAAATTATTAAAACATTCAGTGTTTCTGGTAGGTAGAATGAAACTTTGTATTGCTTGCACTTCTCATGTTATTGCTTCCTCATGATAAATCGCTTGTATTCGTCAATTGTAAACATCTGCTAAATTAATAAATGTAATTTTTTTAAGTCATCCCATCCTCTTGCCCCCTGATTTGAAAACTACTGTTATAAAATACATACTTTATATGCATGTCCATGTTCTGTCTCAGTGTTTTAGACATTGCTAGTAGTCTCTATAAATTATTTAAAAAATGTGATTGCTTTTAACCTGTAAGAGCAGCCGTTTTGACCTTTTCATCCATTTCCTCTTATCATAGGACATGGAGGTGAGCCCTAATGAACTGATGGGCATCCTTAACAAGATTATTTCCAAACGTGAGTTTCTTCAACATATATTGATGACACAAATGAGTCATGTAAAAGATTCTAATAAGATGATCCCTGGTTTTCACCTCTAGATGGCGATCTTAAGACAGATGGTTTCACTATTGAGTCCTGCAGAAGCATGGTGGCAGTAATGGATGTATCCTTCAGTATAATCATGTTAACAGAAAGAGGCTGAATATTACATTTTATGAATACTGTATGTCGGTTTTGCCTTAACTATCTGCTCTCAGAGTGACAGTACTGGAAAACTGGGATTTGAAGAGTTTAAGTATCTTTGGAATAACATCAAGAGGTGGCAGGTACAAACATAGTTAATTTTATACTTTTTGTACTGGGGGACTATTTTGTCTCAACTAACTATGAATATCAGGATTTTAATGAAGAGTTTGCAACCTGTTTTTGTTTAATCCAGGGCATTTACAAGAATTTTGATGCCGATCGCTCTGGTGTGATTGGGTCCGATGAGCTACCTGGAGCTTTTAAAGCAGCAGGTGAGTAGTGTTGTCAGTACTAAAATGGTTGCAGTTTGCATTGCTACTTTCAAAGGCATGCTAAAGTCTCGTGTGTGTGTGTGTTTTTTTTTCAGTATTGTGGAAAAATACTAGTATATTTACCAGTCATTATTCTCCGTCAGCAAGTCAGATTGGAATTGAATATAGTTTATTGGGTCTAATTCGTAATTTCTCATCCCTCCTTTAGGGTTCCCACTCAATGAACAGCTTTTCCAGTTGATCGTCAGGAGATATAGTGATGAAAAGGGGAACATGGACTTTGACAATTACATCGGGTGTCTTGTGCGCCTGGATGCTATGTGTCGTATGTTGACAGATTGTTTTGCCATCTTAATTCTTTTATCACAGACTCATTGTATTTGTAGTTTCAGCATGAATTGCCTCGCTAATGTTGTTTTTTTTTTTACAGGTGCCTTCAAGACACTTGATAAAGACAACAATGGCACCATTAAAGTCGACATTCAAGAGGTACTGTATGTGAACTATAATTTAAGACCACAAAGAAACAATATGTCCTAAATTAGCTCCTATATAACTCTCTTTTGTGTTTTTGTTTACAGTGGTTGCAGCTGACAATGTACTCCTGAATATAAAAGAATATACTTTGCCATCTTGATTATATTCTTTTGTCAGTTCCTCTTTGTGGCCTGTCATTGTCAAATGTCTTTGTTTTAATAACTGACATAATTATTTGTTTCATTGTTAGCTATGACAGCATGATCATACTGTGCCTTTACACTAGGTGGCAGCTTTGTTGCAACGCTTGTTTGCATCCTTAGAGGTTCAGTTTATGCCATATTTCCATATTTTATTTTATTCCATGCCATTGCGCCCTTTTCATTTATGCCTTGGTTTTATCAGAATAGAATAGTTTTAGAATAGATAATAGCTATTAAGGATATTCCAGAGCCATATTATTTAATCACTGAGAATATCAGTCAGCTGTCCGTTTTGCAGAGTTACTGTGCTGATGCTCAAATAAACGTTATTTGTTTTGGACATACAAAGCAGATCTCCACTCATTACGTGTGCAAACACTGGTTGCTATGTGCAACACAAGTTACCCGCATCAGGAGCTGAAGTAGAAAATGACTGACAGTCATAACAGCCAATTAAAATCCCCAGCGCAAGATAATGAATACAAAAATAACCAATCGGCTTCACAAAGGGGCGCGGCCTCCGAGTTACCTGTGATGAAGACAACTGCCTGCCTGCCTGCTCGCGCTGAGTAGATGATGCTGAAATCAGATCGATGAGCAAACAGGTGTTGAGCGCGAGGGTGAACAAAAACGGCTTTGTCTTTGCGCCATCCTCAGGGAAAATAACGCTTAAGCGTGTACCTACTGTCATACAGTAAGTAGTTTATAATTTTTTTTGAGTATCTCGTTGAAAAAGAAACTTTAGGTCATTTTTGTAACCTAACTTACTGAAAAGTATATCAAAGAATATGGCGTCTGTTAATACTGGGCTTTAATGTTGCGTTTGGATGCTATTTGTTTTCAGGTTATTTTTTCATCACTCCTGTAGTTTATTCTGATATGATTACTTGGTTGCAGATAGATGCGAAGGCAAATAATAACATACTCATCAGAGTTTTAAAAAAAAAAAAAAAAAAACGTGATATATACAGCTATATAATTTAAAATGAAATGTATTATATAAATGCATAATGTAAATGACATTATAGTAGGCTATACGAAGGTGTAAATTAAATGTTTTGTTACGTGAGATTATTATTATTATTCAGTGTTATTACAGCTCATGAGGTCAAAAGTTGCTTTTAAAAGGTTGGTCTTGTTGCTGGAATTGCAAGCAAATTTTGAAAGAAAAAAGTAGGCTATTTTCTGCTTTGATTTGGTCTGTCCGTTGTGTTTGGACAGCAGTCTCTCATCAATGAACAAATGAAATCCTCTCATTAAGTCCATGTCCATCTGTGGTTTAAAACCCACAGGGCAAACCAGTCCAATAAATGATACAGCAAGGCGCTGTGCCCCAGGGAATGCAATAAAATTAATAAATCTTGCCCTTTTCGAGGGACTCATTTGATGTTTTCAGGTATTAAATGTTGATGATCAGTCAAGATTTGTTCTGCCTACTTGGTATAATGCAAATTAAATCAAATAACAGTAAATGGTTTGTAGACAAATCAATAATGAAAAACATGAAAAGAAAAATTAAAAGTTAATAAAGACCATCATAACTTGGTGCAATAAATTCCACTCGATTTAGGCTAATGCTTCTAAACTTGAATATAATCAAACAGTCTTCACTGACAATTTGTGTGCATTAACCATTTCAGTGGTTTACCCTCAAAATAGGTTCCTGGGTTTGATGCCATTTGTTTCTTACCTGATTGAAACAAACTGATTCAGAAACTGCATTACTGCATTTCATAATAGTTTGCCATCTAAAAAATAATAATGAACCTATGAACTTTTACACTTTTGTTTAATGGTGATATTGACATAACCCCTCCCTCGTCCTGAGCCACAAGCAGTATGAACTTTAATTACTGATCTGGTAAAGGTGAGAGCCCACCATTTCTTGTTATTATAGATGTTACCCATATGCCATGACATGATTTATTGGTCCACATATGAGCAAAGGTTTCTTACAAGCTGTACATCTGCTTGTTGCTATAGTGAACCAGACAATAGTTAAATTTAATGTAATTAAAACTAATTAAAATGAGAAAAGGTTTGTGTGGAGTGTCATTTGGGGTGATTTTATGTCCTGCTGATATAAACGTTCACCTTAAAATCAAAAGACTATAAATACGTTTATGATATACTTATTAATATGTGTCTGATATTGTGGTGTCTCTTAGTTGTTCAGAGTGGAATATAATGACCTTAAAAACATAAACATCATAATTTTTTATAATTCAAGATGTAGATGAGTTTGTTTCTTTGTTCGAACAGATTTGGAGAAATTTAGCATTACATCATTTGCTCACCAATGGATCCTCAACAGTGAATGGGTGCCGTCAGGATGAGAGTCCAAACGGCTGATAAAAACATTACAATAATTCACAAGTAATCCACATGATTCCAGTCCACCACTTAACATCTTATGAAGTAAAAACCTGTCTGTTTGTAAGAAACAAATTCCTAATTAAAGTTAAATTTAACATTAAATTGTCGCTTCTGGCCCAAATACCAGTCCATAATCCGTAATAATGCTTCTTCCAGTGAAAAGTCAATCCCCTGTTTTAGCCGAAACCAAGGGTTTGAAGTTTAAAAGGTGTTGATGGATTTGTTTCTCACAAACATACAGCTTTTCATTTCACAAGATGTTAATTGATGGACCAGAGATGTGTGGATTACTGTGATGCTTTTTTGAACTCTCATTCTGACGGCACCCATTCACTGCAGAGGATGCACTGGAGAGCAAGTGATGTAATGCTAAATTTCTTCAAATCTGTTCCGATGAAGAAACAAAGTCATCTACATCTTGGATGACCTGAAACATTTCAGCAAATTCATTTTTGGGTGAACTGTTCCTTTAATTCAAATTATATTCATATCATTTCCATTATACATCATATTTCAGATTTTTTCCCCGTGCACATGTATCATGAAGATGCCTCAAAAGGATGCAGAATAATTAACTAGCCTCATTGCTTTGTTTCAAATGCCTGCTGCTGTTTTTCTTTAGTCACGAAATAAAGGTGCAAGACATTGTGACAACTTAAACACACCCTCTAAACACTGTAAGCTCAAGGACTGGTTAAGGTTTGTTGAGATATATAATTTTCCAGCCTATGTTCAGGATGCATGCTGATTCTGAGATGCACCTAGCAATTAATAAATAATGGTTTTGGTCTTGCACAAGGGGGTCTGATTTTATGCAACACATCAGCTGTGCCGTTTCTTCTCCGTTGTACCAGACCAATTATTGCTGTCAATCTGAGGCATGCTGAGTTTATAAAGCCTTTGCTCTAAGAATAACCGCGTCCCTCAACCTGTCCTCCCCCCTGCTGCAGTTCTCAGCTAGGATGGCTGCCGACTCCACCATGAGATCTGAAGTGGAGGAGCTGCAGAGGAGGACCAATCAGGTGACAGATGAGGTAATGCCGCTAACAATCACCAAAGTAGCAAAGTTCAACATTGTTTTGCATTGATTTGCGTGGGTCTTCAGCTGATGGTGTGTTTTTCTGTCCTGTTTTGATGAGACTGCTCATCAACAGGCCTACAGTGATGACATCAAACATTTTCCATTCTCAGTTTTTCCCATGGTACATAGCAACCAGGTTGATGATGCTAAACACATTATATATGCACCTACAGTAATATTATGATTTCCACTGTGACGAAGTCTGGTAAATCGTAAATGAAGCCATTATTCATCGCCAGATTTTCCACTGGGCGTTATGTAATGGATAATGTACAGTCCATCAGTCTTTATCGCAAAATAAACCCCAGCAGGGTGATCTGGACACTGACGCATAGCGCTTATTACACAGCTACTCACCCAGTAAAGAAATATTTGCACATGAAAGAATGGTTTGAAATTGTTTTGTAATTCTACCTCTGGGGTTACATTGTTGTTTTCTGCTAATTAAAAAAAATCCAATACAGTAAATAGCCTAGAAACAATATTACAGTGATATTAAAATACTGAGGTCCTGTGTGGTAATTTTCACTTCAATCAATAACTATGTTTTATACTGAGTTATAAATGTGTTCTTTTTAGTCACTGTTGTGTTTTGAATTTTTACCTCTGACAGTCCCTTGAGGTCACTAGAAACATGAGGCTTCTGCTGGAGGAGGTGAGTGATCATTATTCATAACAGCATGTATGATATATTTAATAATTGCAATTACCTCATCCTGTGTTGTTGAACAGTTGTTAGTGATGATGACAAATCAGTGTGTATCTCATGGGACAGATTCAGCCTGAGACCACAACAAAAACCAGGGATCTAAGAAATAAACCAAAATGTTTTATCCAATTAACTAAAACTAGAACCATAAAACAACCATTTTTGTTACTTAAAATAAAATGAAATATGTATATAAAAATATAAACAAACTTATTTTAGCTAGTTACCAAGGCAGTATTTTTTGTTCTTATTCACAAAAATAACTAAAACTTAAATATGAATTATTATTTGTTTTTAGGAAAAAAAAATGCTAAATTCACTAGTGGTCTCAAAGTTTTGTACCCCACTGTTCAAACAATCAAAAAAATATGTAAATCTTCAATAAAACATAATGTAAAATAAATGTGATCATGTGATTATTATTTATTGTTGAGCACCCTTCTCTTAAATTGGCCTCTGGGCACAAACTTTCATTCCTTTTTTTTTTCATACATTCATCTGCAACAAAATTGCCTTCTTTAATGTGCACTCATACTGAATTATTTTCAATTCTTCAACAGAGTAAAGATGCAGGGATCAGGACACTTGTTATGCTGGACGAGCAGGGAGGTAATGAATTATCTTCATACACTCTATATAAATAGAGATAAAACGTACAGCAGCTAAACAATCAACTAATTACTTGCAAATGCATCATTAGTTGTTCATTTATCCTGTTGCATCTGTATGACAGGTAGCTATTATCTTTATGCTAATGATACAGAATATGCACAAGATGTAGGAGTACAGACCGCGCATTCTTCATCTTTTGTTATTTATTCATCCTTTCAGTACGACATATATAAATACAGCCATATATGATTCCATACATATGGAAATATGTACCCTCTGTGTGTTTTTCTGTGCATGCTTGCATATTTCCCCTTTCAATTCCCCTTCCCCCTGCCTCCCATGCCCTTCCCTGTCTCCCTCACATGGGCAGAACAACTGGACCGCATAGAAGAGGGCCTGGATCACATCAACAAGGACATGAAGGAGGCTGAGAAAAATCTCACTGACATGGCCAGGTGTTGCGGTCTGTGCATCTGGCCATGTACAAAGTAGGTCTCCTCCCAGACACCTGAGCCATGGCTGCTTGGTGGTCAATGATGTCACCTCTCTGCCCATGCCTCTGTCCCACTGATAACCTGTCCTGCTGTGATGTTGCTACATGTTAGTCTTTTTTGGTTGTTTTGTGAGCAGAGGTTCATGCAGGACTCCATGTAAACATTTGAAATGAAGATAAATGTTAAGCAACTTATGCTCACATAACAAATGCAGTGTTTGTAGATATTAATAAAATTTTTCAGTTCATATCTGTCCATTTCGCTTGTCATTTGGAGCTAGAGCTACCACTGATGTTTAGTCGCTTATGGGCGTGTGGCGCTTCTTGCTGAGAAAACTGCTGTTGTGTTTGTTTGTTTTTATCTCGTCTCCATACATTAACCCCTGAAACCTCCATACTCTGTGATCCCACCTTCCCTCATCCAGAGCAGCTTGAGCGGATTGAGGAAGGGCTGGACCAGATCAACCAGGACATGAGGGAAGCTGAGAAAAACCTAACAGATCTCGGCAAATGTTGCGGTCTGTGCTCCTGTGATAAGTATGTGATGTTTGGAGGGGCTTGGCTTTTAGTTGCTTGCATGAAAACTCATTTTGTGCCAGTAATTGCTTGTGTGACCTCAAGAAATCACAGGAAATTGGTTGGATGTACTGTCTTTTTTTATATCGTTCATATATATACACTAATAGCTTGGAATAATTAAGATTCAACATATTAGAATGATTTCTAAAGTGTCATGTGACACTGAAGACTGGAGTAATGGTTGCTGAAAATTCAGCTTGGCCATCACAGAAATAAATTACATTTCAAAATATAAAACTGTTATTTTAAATTGTAATAACATTTCACAGTATTACTGTTTTTACTTTATCAAATATATGTAGCATAGTGAGCATAAAAACATTTTAAAAAATCTTAATTATTCCAAAACTGACTGGTAGCATGTATAAATATATATTGCTCTATATAAGAAATGTTTTGAAAGGATCAATACCGTATAAAATGTTATATAATGTCAAAAATATAATGTCACTGGTCTTTAACATCAAACTAATGCAACTCATGACTTAAATTACATAACTATTGTCAGACAAACTCCAACCAAATAATATGTACTGTAATTTTTGTGTGGTTCATTTAAAACAGATGCAACACCAACTATACCTGCGTCTTCAGAGTCAGCGTTGAATCCTCCTCAAACAATTTAGGCAGTTACAGCCTAAATTTCAGTTTTGGTATTAACAACTGGTATGACTAATCTTGTCAAATGTATGTCTTTCTCATATGGCTTCTCTCAGACTAAAGGACTTTGAAGCAAGTGGGGCGTATAAGAAGGTTTGGGGTAATAACCAAGATGGGGTGGTGTCTAGCCAGCCCTCTTCTCGAGTCGTGGATGAGAGAGAGAAGATGACCATGAGCGGTGGATATATTAGAAGGTGCCAGAACTTTTGGCTTCTCGTCCATAAATTGACTCTACCATTTCAAAGCAGTCACTCAGATTTAAAATAAAGAAAGAAAGAAACATACCTTTAATACTTTTTTGAGCAAGTATGCATTTATTGATCATATGTGACAGTAAATACATTTATTATGTTGCAAACTAATAGATCAAATAAATGCTGTTCGTTTGAACCTTACACTTCCATTTGTTTTTGAACATATAGAATGAAGTTTCTATAGAATGAAGGTTCTAAGATTCTATATGACCCTGAATTCTGCTAATGGCTACTAAGAATTCAGCTTTGCTATCACAGTAATGAATTAAGTAAATAATATTAAAATAGAAAAAGTTTTTTTTTTTATTTGTGATAATATTTTACAGCATGACTATATTTTGTCCAAATAGTTGCAGCCTTGGTGAGCAAAAGAAAGTTCTTTCAAAACATTAAAAAAATCTTAGCACCCCCGAACTTTTGAACAGTGTATAAACTATCGTTTCTCTTTGAAAGAGTGACAAACGATGCAAGGGAGGATGAAATGGAGGAAAACTTGGCACAGGTCGGCGGTATCCTTGGCAACCTCAGAAGCATGGCACTTGACATGGGCAATGAAATCGACACTCAGAACGTCCAGATTGAACGCATTCAGAGCAAGGTCAGTGTTTGGAAGGGGTTCAGAAACATCTGTTCTACAAAGAGCAGTTGAACCTTTTAATATTAACCGTTCTTTTAATGTTTTTTTTTTTTTTGCAGGCCATGGTCAATGAATCCCGCATCAATGAGGCCAATCAGAGGGCCACAAAGCTAATATCAAGATAAAAACATGGGATTTTCCTTTGTGAAACGTTTACAGTCTTCTAGGAGAATGTGTGCACATATTGATACAAATTATTAAGATGTTTATCTTTTAAATGACTATTTACAGAACTTGGATTATTGCATACTGATATGACAGTAAGTAATTATTATTATGTTCCAACAACAGCTCTTAAATACATTAAGGAAAAATTGAATGAATGTTAATATACTGTCTCTAGTCTGTGCTGTAATTGTAATTTAAGCATGTATTATACAGTATAGGCTATAACAACACATAGCTGATAAAAGCTCACTATTCAGACAAAACAGTGTCTTAAAGTTGTATTGGTAAATGTAATTTCTTTGTCTACATTGAGTAGCTTTTTAAAAAACAAATCAAGTTGATAAGTTCAAGGGTTTGTTTCATGATGGACAAAATGTTTTTTTTTTTCTGCTATACATGGGCCACTTGCTTAGGTTCTTCAAATAATCTTTTATTATTTTATTTTCAAAATAAAACTAAATTGATATTTTTCAGTTAATCATTTATTTTATTTCAAATCTATGACTTTTTTTCTGTGGCAACTGGCAACCTAGTCACCATTCACTTTGATTTAGTCTTTTTTTGGACAATAAAATTGAAGATTACTCGGTGTGGGACGTTCTCCTAACTAAGTAAAACAAAGTCAGCCAACTGTGAGTCGAAAAAACTTGAAGGTGAATAAATGAGACCTCATTTTGGAGTGAACTGTCCCTTTAAAGGCATAGTTCACCCAAAAATGAAAATTCTGTCATCATTTACTCACCCTCATGTCTATTCAAACCTGTATGAGTTGCTTTCTTATGTTGAACACAAAAGAAGATATTTTGAAGATTGCTGGTAATCAAACAGTTGGAATTTTCATTTTTGGGGGAACTATCCCTTTAAGCCGGTAGCTTTTTTTTTCCGAATCAAGCACGCATATTTGAGGAACTCACTACACCCACCTAGCGGGTGCTACAGACAATTACAAGGCCACTCCCCAAGTCTGAAACAGAGAGCCTCAAAATGGTGGCGTTTTGTTGTATGGCCACCTCATTACAAATCTGTAAACGATGCTGAACATTCAACGAATAGGCTACTCAAACATTTAATTTCATTTAGCTGCTTCCCGAACTTCTGCTTGATAGCCTTCCTATGATCCTCAAGAAGATGCAACTGATTACGACCTGGGGTCCAAAGATAAAGAACAAGAGATGCAACACAAGCCAATGTTTCTACTTCAATCGCAAAGTGTTAAGGCCTAAATTAATTCCAGCATTTGTTAGCCTACTATGCGGAATAGCCCCTTGTGATTTGTGTCCTTAACTGTTTTATTTTAACCAGTTTATAATGTTAGTTGCTTACACATTCTCTTTAGTAAACATACATATATTGTGTACAGTATAGCTCAAATCTTTGAAGTATAGCATCTGTTTTTTTATACAGTTTTTATAAATTACACACAGGGTGCAGGTCTTTTGATCGATATGTTTCCATGACGTGAACAGGAAATCGTGGATCTTTTAAATAATATATATATTTTTAACAGAGATTGCACTCTAAAAGTAGTAGTATTTATTATCTATCTAGCCGAATATTTTACAGATATCAAATATCAATAACCAGAAAAAAGTATATGCATTTTTAAAATGTCCATGTCTTTTAAAATCGTACAAATTTCAGACCAGGAAATCACTTTTTTTTAATTATTATTTTTAATTATTTTTATAACTATTGGGACTGTAGCTTTGAAAGTTTCCAAACACCACAAAATAGCTTGTTAGACTGGAAAAAACGCGAACAAAATCCACAAATATTTTACGCGATATATTTAACATGTATGAATAAAAAGCGACTTAAATTTACTTTTATTTAATTGCAAGTTGAACATTTCCATGCTTATACTGGGCCACAGGGTTTGCATGTAGTTAGAACTGCTTCCACACAGGCATAAGGAAGGATTACTATAGAATGTTGGCGAACTATCGTTGTGGAGGGGGAAAAACACGTAGAGCTGAGTCTGCGCGACGCAGGGGATCACTGCCTACGAAGTTTATCGGGCAAGGCTACACCGACAAATCCTAGGAAGCATTCGGCCGCACTGTAGGTAATTACCACTCAATCTATCGCTAATATCAATAGCAATAAAGTTGATCGCCTTTCAGATGTACGCAGTTTCGATTTGACTCAAAATTGGTTCGTAAATGCGTCTACGATATGCGTGCGTAGTCCATTTTTTTACGGCAGGCTAACGACAAACAAAATACAAATCTGTTTGCGTTTCCTGGTGGAATATTTGCTTATTACGATATCTGAATCTATCTTTACGCGTTCGATTGAATACTGTACGCGAGATTTTTGAGAAATGGCAGATTTGAACGCTCGAGCTAGATGCTGTATGTCCGTGATGGCGCTCGCTCGATTCTCAATGTTCCTATTGCTCTCTGACGATTAGGCAGGAAAACAACAAAGAAGCAGGAAGCATGGGCACACCGGCGAGGCGGTGTGAGATCACGCCGCAATTAGTTGTAACAGTTAATTTAAAGTAAAAGGATCCTAGAAAAATATGATTCTGTGCTTTGCCCAAATACTCTCTGTCTGTGCCTGTTCTGTCCTTTTAAAGCGCAGAACAGAAGCAACATTCATCACATGACCATAATAAATCAGAGGGACAGTAAGTTTATTGTACAACACAATTCACACACACACACACACACACACACACACACACACACACACAAACACACATATATATATAATTACATATTTAGATCTTTTGTCAGTTTGTGAGGAAGTAAGAACAGGTTAGTTGTATTTAATTAGTGTGTCACATTCGTTTTCTTCTTTGCTAGGTAGGTTGAAGTTAAATGATGTTGAAAGCTTCTGGATGAATTTCCATTTTGAATTTCAATTTGTATCTTTTACTATTTCAGCCATATAATTCATCAAGCCTTCTGATGGATGAAGTCTAGAAGCCCTGTTTGATTTGGTTGTGATTAGTTTTGAAGAGCGGAGGAAGAAGGATGTCGGAATTCATGCCATACCCTTACAGAGGGCCAGGAGGTGCTTTAATGCGCTTCAAGAAAAGAAAGTCACGTTTCACATTCCAGGAGGTTGAACTGCTGCTCAGTGAGGTGCAGAAAAAACGCCATATTCTAGTTGGTAAGTCAAACCTTTTTATTTTCATATCACAAAATTCAATAGGATCTGAATGTATGTAAATTATGCTTTGCATATGTGAGGGATAATAGTTAAATGAACTCACGGTTTTAACAGGAAAGTTCAACCGGGGCATTTCGAAGGATCTGAAAAACCGCACATGGGCTGATGTGACAGCACGTATCAATGAGGTCAGTGAGTGTCATCGAGAAATTATTGAAGTCATTAAGAAATGGGCAGACCTCAAATGCGACACCAAGCGGAGGGTGGCCGCCATGAGGGCATCGGGAGCCACGGCCGCCCAAATCGCACAAGAGCTGTCGCCTATAGAAACTATGGTACACCAGATCCTTCAGATGTCTAACCCTAACAAAAATGTGAGCAGTTTGGCAAATGATGACCAAATGGATGATGAAGACGAGGATATTCCAGGTCTCTCTGAGATGCCACACAGCTTCTCACACATGGCAAATGGCAGGCCTCATTCGTTTGGTTTGCCTATGCCACCTCCCTTCCACACTAGTATCCCAGGCAAAAGTGATACAGAGCTTCCTGCACACGTCATGTTCGGCGGTGAGTTCCATTTTGATTTTATTTTTAAATTAGTTAGGCGATTCATTACTGAGTGTTTGAATGTTCAAAATGTAATAAATGTGTTACTTCTATTGTATTGATAGATTCATCAGTGCCTCTAATAGATGTCCAGACTGACACATCAGAAAAGGAAGGTAAGAAATAATGAAGAGAGACTTGCCACACATTTTGATTCTTTTAATGGGTCAGTGGCATCTCAATCAACTTATATCAACTTGTTAAAAAATATAGTCACTTTATACATTAGGTGACGTGAATACACCTTTTATGATGAGCATGTTTTTAATTTTGAATGAAAATGTAATTTTGTGTCAATGTACAAATATGTCAGGATGGTGATACTATAATCTTTATTTTGTGTTAGGCATAAAAGATTTGCATTATATATTTGATTTAAGTTATTATTTTTTCATTAAAACAGTTTATTAATATTTGAAAATATTGTATTTGGGACAATAGATGATTCATATTTATTAGATTATTGCTTTTTACATTTATAAAAAATGTAATATTTGGAAAAACTCCTTAAAACTTAATTATTTCATAAATATATTTGAAAAGAAAAAACAACAACTTTTACCTCAAAGTATGTAGATTATATCTTGAAAAATAACACACACACACACACATTACTGAATCTTACTGAAAAATGTTATGGAACATTATTATAGACACTCTTATTGTTAATTGACCATAATGTTTTATGCATCCATTTTATATAATAAAAAACGCTAAGTTCTCTTTCAAATATGATGTTAATGTCTAAAATTAACATGTTTCTTATCCTTCCAGGCAGTAACATGCAGTTTATTGAACCAAGAAGCCAACCAAACCAGAATCCTATCGGTATTCCTGGATTCCTCAGCCATCCTATTGTTGAGAAGAGCCATGTTCGAGAAAAACCTAATCACAACACAACATTTAACGGCCCCTCATCTGCCAGTATCCCAACATTTATTGCACCTTCTGCAGTGGCCGCCTCATCATCACGTTCAGCTCCCGCTCGGCTCCCTCCCCAACCTGCTCCTGTGGAGCCTCGCAGTCTGAAGGAGCGTTTATCCCAGAGTGCCTCGCTCAGCCTGCAGGAACAGCAGGCCACCACACTGCTGATAGGGTCGCTGTCTCGCTCACTGGAGTCGCTCGCGGAGTCGGTGCAGAGATTGGTCCACACCCAGCAGCAGTTTTCACGCGACACCTTACAGCTGCAGCGTGACACACTCCACGTCCTGCGTGACTTCTCCTCCAACGCCTTGACTCTCCTGCAGGACAAGGTCAACGGACATCCGTAGCTCTTTCAACAGCTACAATTGGGAGCAAGTTACACAAACAGTGAATGCTGAATGATAGCAAAGAAAATACAATAAGCTTGAGGATATAGTGACACTAGAGTTTATGGCAATCTCTGAAAATGTTTTAAGAGTTATAGAGCTGACAGGACTAAAAGATTTCCCTATTTATAACATGATAACCAAAATAATAAGCATTAGAATCTAAAACAGGTTCTTCGTAGAGTTCCTTGTATGTACCGACTGAATATTTTCAGTAGATGGCTGGGTCTCATAGACTGTTGGACCAATTGTGTGCTCTTTTACAGGTAATTTAAATGGGCAAAAAAAATATTTAAAAATTGACTGGTAATTTAATATAATTATATTTGTGGTGCTTTTTAAACTATTGCAAAGTGGCCATTAAATTGGCTGCTTTTAATTTATGTAATCTGATTATTATTTGATTTAATAATAGATTTTTCTTTCTTTATCTTACCTGCTGTTTGTTCTTTTAGGCAGGTGCATTATCTGTTTTAAATTGTTTATCTTAACTTGAATTTCCAAAGACTCATTATTGTGTTTTATTTTTCCTCCAGATATGATTTTAAATTCTGATTGAAGGCACATTATCTTAGCTGTAGCTCCTATGGACCTGTGTTTGATCTCTGAGAACTGAAAAAAAATGTCTCCTGCTTTAAAACCCAATGTAAAGGATGGAAATAAAACATTTAAAATAATACTGATTTTTACTTGAACTGCTTTTCTTCCTTCAGATTAAAGGAATAATTTACCTGGAAATTAAAATTTGCTGACGGTTTTCTCAACATCAGGCCATCCAAGTTGTAGATTAATTTATTTCTTAATTGGAACAGACCTTGAGAAATTTAGCATTATATCACTTGCTCACCAGTGGATCCTCTGCAGTGAATGGGTGCCGTCAGAATGAGAGTCCAAATAGCGGATAAAACATCACAATAATCCACACGACTCCAGTCCATCAATTAATTTCCTGTGAACTAATTTTTTAAGTGTGACAGAAAATCAGGATAAAGGGTTATGGCTACCATATGTAATTTTATGTCTGTTCTATAGCACAGCAATCATTATCAGGAAATACAGAAAGTTCAAACTGTTACACAACATAGGCTAGTTAATGCTGCAATAGTATGATGACAATAGTACAGTCCATCACAAATTTTTATCTAACATGTTAAACTCAAAGTGGCAACTCATGAAAGTTTATGAAGAGACAAAGATTTATATACTCTACTTTATATAATGGTTTGTCAAAAGAAAAAAAAGAGCTTGCTTATGAGATTATGAATAAACGTTTATTCTTGAATTTGCACTCAACACTGATCTCTCGCAAGAGGAATACAAAAATATCCACTAGGTGTCTCTCTTGCACTTTTGTTTCCAAGTGCAGAACAGGTTGTTCAAAAAACTACATTTTTTACAAACCTCGTCACATACTAGGAGGACTAAGTTTACCACTGGCAAAAAATAAAATTCTAATAAATTGTAGTAAAATTCTACTCAATTAAAAATGAACAAATATTGCAATAAAAGACATTTTAAAATGTAGTAAAACATATAAATTAAGTAATATTTATTAAAAGATACTATAGGAATATTAAGACGTTAAGGAAAGGCCATCCTGACTGAAACTATGTCATCTTGAAAGTGAAAGTGAAGTGACATGTGGCCAAGTATTGTGACCCATACTCGGAATTAGTGCTCTGCATTTATCCCATCCAAAGTGCACACACACACTGTGAACACACACACACTGTGAACACACACCCAGAGCAGTGGGCAGCCATTTTTGCTGCGGCGCCTGGGGAGCAGTTGGGGGTTCGGTGCCTTGCTCAAGGGCACCTCAGTCGTGGTATTGAAGGTGGGAGAGAGCGCTGTATATTCACTCCCCCCACCTACAATCCCTGCCGGTACGAGACTTGAACCCGCAACCTTTGGGTTACGAGTCCCACTCTCTAACCATTAGGCCACGACATTCCCCATTCATCTTGTGGTCTCCCCCAATAAATGGCCATGTTTCTCCTTATTTTCACAGTCCTCTTCATCTGGTAGATGGTCTGCGGAATCCTCAGGGTATTTCGAACAAAGATATGAAGATGTTGGCATAGAGAGAAATAGTTTAAAGTCTAGAATATATTATGCACTAAATAATTTCATGCACCTCATACAAATAGTTGTGTTATCTTTTTTTATTTTTTTGCTGTGGTCTGAGGTTTGTCTGGATTTAACATGCAGTAAGGTTTAAACAACAGATTTATGAAAGAGCCAAATAACTGCCTCATAAAATGGGTAAATAGTCAGTAATTAAACAAAGTATGTACATAAAATACCCTTACTCAAGATGTCAAAAACATTTAGCATTATTTTTCCTTCACCTGGCCTATTATGAAAATTTTAAAGAGCCATTATTTTCAAATTAAAATCATACAGTGATTATAAGAAACATTGTAAACATGTTTTTAGTTAGTTTCAGTATATTTCAATATAATTATACCACAACAAAATATTTTATATTTTTATTTGCGATGATTGGCGAGTTTACAGTTTCCAGCAACCCTGTAAAGGTAATTCATACACGTATTATAATTCATCAGTTGCACTGCAAAGTTATATTGGTGATACATTATAATATATTATTTGTATACTTACATATTTAGCTTTGATTTCACCAGCCATCATGCCATGCTCAGATGTCTGTGTAATTCACATTATTTCTTTAAAAATAAAATTGAAAATAAAATATAAATACATTTATAAACACATAATTAACAGTATATATTATATACTACATCAATTACAGTACTGAAGAAAGGTTTGGGCTCAATTTTCCAATGTTTTTTTTTTTTTATGGAACATTGCTTTTTCATTATTACAAAAAGTTCCTATTTCAAATAAATGCTGTTCTTTTGAACTTTCTATACATCAAAGGAACCAGAAAAAAATGTATCACAGTTTTCACAGAAATATTAAGCAGCACAACTGTTTTCAGCATTAATATCAAATGATCAAAATTTGAAAATGATAATACAGAAAACATTTATTCTAAATTACAGTTTTAAATGTACTGTTTTACGGTCTTTTTGAAGTTTTGAACAATAGTGTATTTATTTTGGTATAGTAAATTTACCCAGTTAATGATATTTATTAAATCAACAACAAAATTACTTTTCAGATTCAACCTGAGGCTGCTGTACTATGTACAGAACAGTGAGCTGTACCTCATGCCATTCCAGCGTCTTTACAGGAAGAGCCAGGTGACAGAGCGGACAGGTGCTTATCTTATCCAGGTCCATGTCAATGTTTCTGTCTCTCTTCACCTTTTGCACTGATGAGAAGGAGAAATCTGCAGCGTCTGGAGTGCTGTTATTTCCAGGATTGGGGTTTTCATCCTCTTCCTCTGAGTCATCATCCTCGACGTCTGCAAACTGTAAGGACTTTTTGCAAAGCAGCTGGTAAAAAAAAAAAATAACAGAAAGATTTGAGGTGTTAAAAATAGATCTTCATAATTACATATAACATATTCTTATTTATTGACACATTTTACCTTGTGTTCCTTCAGCTTATCTGAGGGAATGTATTTCAGACAATTCTGACACTGCAACATAGTCTGCTCTGAAGATAACAGATATGCCAAATGCCAGTATTTTACAATCACAATTTGTCTGAATACCTTAAAATATGCAGAACCTGGCAATACTAAGACCTATAACATATCTACGTACAATGTTTCAAACTGATCATGTAATTTCCTAACCATCTGTGTCAGAAGTATCATCCTCAGGGACAAGGTCCTTTGATGCTGTGGGGGTGGTAGTAGAGCAGATCTGAGCGTGCTCAAGCTGGTCCATCAGTTTAACGTACCAGCCGCAGTCAGAGCAGCGCTCCGTGCGACTCCCACAGGACACTTTGTGCTCTTTTAGATTGCTCAGAGGAAGCTCAAGCTGACAAAACTCACAGATCGGAGGCCTCTCAGTGCACTCATCTTTCTGTAAACAAGGAGAGACAGAAACAACAAAAGAATAAGTGTGAAAACACTCTAAGAGAGAGCAGCCTCAGACATAAAATTTTCACAGTGTGAGACTGAATATTCACCTCATGATCCAATAGATGCCTTCTCTCCATCTTTTTATTGCACATCTTACATTTGACCTGTGAGACATAATGAAAAATGAGACCACTGACATGGTTTCTCAGAGGGGGAGATTACAGTGATGAGTAAAAAGCATGTCAAGTGGAAAACGTTTAGATGGGAAATTCATCCCAAATAATCTTTTGTGACATACAGGGCCAAGGGCCTGTAAAAAGCAGCAAAGTGTTAACCAGTGTTGAGTGGTGGTCGTGACCTCTGTGTGCTGTTCGGTTTTATGCTGCTCCAGTTGATCTCGAGGCACAGTTTCATCGCAGTCAGGGCATATACACAGAAACCTCTTACAGTGTGGTTCGTGCAGATCATAGTTTTCCTTCGCCACCTCTTTATTGCTGCATGAAAACATTGGAGAGACTCTTTACAGAGACTGGAGAATGGAAAAGGTGTTATGACACTACAATGTTATGGCACTTCGAGGAACAGTTCACCCAAAAATTTTAATTCTGCCATTATTTACACACCAGCATGCTGTTCCAATCCTGTATGCTTTTGTTTTTTTCTGTGTAACACAAAATATTTTTGGAAAAATCTTTTTACATGATTCCTAATTATTTATATTCACGATTACTAGTATTTGTACAGGCTTTACATTTTTAGTTCAATGTTGTAATTATCAATTCATGTAATTGTATCTTTGAAGCAGATTTGTTATGTGACAGCATTAATTAACGTTTCTTAAAGGTCAAGATCATGTTATCTGCATCTCCTGCGCTCCATCAAGCCACTCCCATAATAGCTGTCAGCACTCAAATTAATGCACAACTCAGATTAACTGTACAGCATGTGTGTAAGACTCGAATACAATTATAAAGTTATGTTATCACGAATAAATCTTTCAATGAGTAAAACTGGCTGTGTCTATAGTATTATAGATTACACAACATTAGGCTATAATATTATTTTCAAATTATTTTTTAAATTATTATTATTATAAATGATAATCCCCGGATAGGGTACTCTTGTAATAGCAGTGGCTGGGATAGATTTTAAATATCAGTTCCACTTAAAAAGATGCAATCTAATCCTGTTTACATGAAATAAGCCTGCTCCCGAGCAGGTTAAAGTTTACGGACTTGTTGCTATGACAGCAAGTCCAGGATGAGCTTCGAAGAACCAAATAATCCAAGATCATGCCAAATCGTCAACAATCAAATCCAGCTAACTGAGTTAGTGACGTACGAAGAACGGGCCCCATGTCCCATAGTTTCACTTTGTTTAAATCAGGTTATCGACAACAAGGTAATAGGCTAACGTTAGTCATTATTGTTGAGTATTGTTGATTAAGTAGAATATGTTTTGTTTTCGATAGCCTATTTTGTTGTTGCTACAGTAGACAGATATTCTATGTCAGTGATTTTACACTCACTGAACACTATGTCATTTGTTTACATACGTTGGCAGTGAACACAAATATACGTTGTACCAAAACTGTGTGCGTTAGTATAATTACAGTAGGCTACATTATAAAACACTTACCAGTGAGTACATAAAATCAGTTCTTCTTCGTCCATATTTAGAGTGAGATGACTGGGTTACTGTGTTGGGGTTTATATTTTCACTTATCCGAAACCGAAAGTGGAGCTGAAACTTAAGGTGTCGTAAATAACAACTCTTATTGCTAAACGTCTGTTGTTATCCAACAATACAACATTGCCTTTTGTTGTGATGAAACACAGTCAGCACTATACTTGACATCTTTCACTGTATCTCATCTAGTATGTTTACCATAACTCCTGCATAGTAGGCCTAACCACTGATATATAATAGAGAACTGGATTGCTCATGACGTCATGAAAGTGAAGCCGAGCCATTTATATAGATCAGCGATAGTAACACAATCCTAGGCTGTGATGTTGTATAGTAACCTACCACAGGTTTTTATAGTAAGTAGCTATAGGCCTATATGTGAGTGTGTGTGTGTGTGTGTGTATATATATATATATATATATATGGTTTATTATTGTAGCTACTGTAGGGCGCATTAGGAGACGCTTAGACGTTTTAAAGAAATTATACTTTTATTGAGCAAGGACACATTAAAACAATCAAAGTGACATTTGAAAGAATTCTATTTCAAATAAATGCTGTTCTTATGAACTTTCTATTCAACAAAGAAACCTTAAAACTGATATCACGATTTCCACACAAATATTAAGCAGCGCAACTGTTTTCAACAGTGATCATAAGAAATGTTACCCAAGCACCAAATCAGCATATTAGAATGATTTCTGAAGGATCATGTGACATTGTAGTCTAGAGTAATGACTGCTGAAAATTCAGCTTTGTCATAACAGGAGTAAATTACATTTTAAAATATATTAAAATCAATTCTTTTAAATTACACACAATATTACCGTATACTGTGTTTTTTGATTAAACAAATACAGTCTTGATGAGCATAAGATAAAATTATTTTAAAAAGCACTGACCCAACTTTTGAATGGTATGGATAGGTGGGTATGTTTCATACATGGCTGCATCTAAACAATTTTATAATATGCTATTTTGCGGTTAGATTTATTCATTTATTTAGTATTATTTGCCAAACTGTTGCTATGAGGAAAGCAAATTCCAGTCTTGTGTTTACCTGCATTTAAACTATACATTTTACCTTCTCAAGTGAAGTAGTTTACTCATTTACAATGTGTATACATTAGTATGGATCAGTTCATGATGTTCAGCTTTGTATCTCCTCTGAATGATTATTGCTCAACTCACGTATGCTGTCACTTTAGTTAACCATTAGGAGTCTGACGGACTTCTGGATGGATGTCCCTCGTTGGCCCCATTAGCAGATACTCACTTATGTTGACTCCAGTTAAAGATTTTATTGAGTTTTGGAAAAATTTTCTCAAAATAATTGAACAAGGCTTCTGTATCAAGGCCTCTGAGACATCAGACATCAGCAGCTAATGGATGTTTGTCAGCAAAAACAGCACAGGGGCAGACAGCTGTGTCACACCAGGGGAATCAAAGTAATTACGGTATTGAGTTTCGCATTTTTACTCTTGCCGCAGATAGGTGTGGACAGGGAAGTTTACACAGACTGGTTCATTCTCTAATTCCTGAGTGGGTCATCTGTCGCCTGCAATCTCTGATCAGAATTGTGATCAGCATTAGCGCTGCTGTGGCCAAATACACACGGGGGTAATCTGGCCTGATGTTGTTTTACATAAACAAGTGAGTTATTATAGTGTAAGATTGTACGCTGCAGGCCTGGATTGTACATTTGTGTGTGTGCGTGTCTCTTGTTATATAATATTAAAGTTCACGGTTCCTCACTCCACCAGTCAGACCAACCAGCAAAGAGCAAAGCAAATAACAGGGACGTTAGCACCAATTCAAGTCAAAGAATGAGGAGTTCTAGTCTTACATCCTTAATCTCTCTCCGCCTCCTCCTTCGCCCCCCTTTGTGATTATATTATCAGTTTCTGATCTCTTTAGAGTTTTATTGCACTAGATCAAATTGCTTTTATGAGCACATTGGAGACATCTGAGCTGTGAGTCCAAAAAAGAATGCATGAACCTAAATATTGATTTATTGCACCACAGACCAATGTTGCAACAATTTCATAAAATGACCTTGGGATTGTTTGCGAAATTATTCTGAGCTAGTTATTAGGATGCATATTATGCTTCTCATATTAGATTTTATGACAAACACCTTTCATTTATCCTATTTTAATAATAATAATAATACATTTTATTTGTCTAGCACTTATTATACAAGAAATTCAAAGTGAAAGCTTAAAGTGATTTACAGTAAAAAACACAAGCACAGTAATTACTGTTAGAATTGATCATTTATTCATTTTTAATTTATAATATATATAATAACCAATTTTCTTTTTTATTTGTAATCTACTTTAAACAATTTTTTTTAACATTTTAAAATTAGTAAAAAAAACAGTCAAGGTTAAAGTTGAAATAAAAAATAATGTTTAAAATTTGTATAATTTTATATAATTTATATAATTAATTTATGTGTGTTCACATGAGTACAAATAAACATGATTAAAATGTAAATACCTTAATTAATATAATATTAGATAAAACCCACTTTATAATGATAGTAAAATACTTGTATTTAAACAAAATGCATAACACAAGATGGAAATTAAATCATAGTAATAAAAGTAATACGTAATAATAAATAAAAAGCATTTGATATTTAAAAGCATGAGTAAAAATATACATTTTCAGCTTTCTTTAAAAAATATTTAGTGCATTTTAATATAGATGTTTAACTGATTGAACAGAACATTAAAAATGGCCTTTAAATTGGTGCTAATATAACTCCAGACCATCTCATCCTGGGTTTTTTGGCATATACATGTAAATTAAACTACAAGCTGATGGATTTCTTTTCAGAGAGAAGTCACACCTCTGGCTGGCTGTCAGGTGTTGCAGTGCCATATGCTCATTTTCAATTCCTGTCAAATCTAGTCATATGATTGCAGGGAACAGAATGGGTTGATAAAATGCAAAACCTTATTTGAAAATGCGGTCATTTTCGGATTAATGCTATATATACATATGTTCATCCAACCAAACCTTATGGCATAACACCAAAGAATATTTCCAAAGAGGGTTCACAAGGCAACCCCAGAAAGTGCACCAATTAGAAGGCGCAATGGCTCTCAAACACTAAACTGCCAAGAGATTGAAGGAGATGGAGACAACAGCTCTAAACAACCAGACAAATGAAAGAACCAGGCAATGTTCAACAGGCTCTTTTAGTGGAAAACGGCATTAGCCACTACTTGAGGTTGTTGCTGTGCACAGAGGATACGGTTTTCTTGCCCAGGTTCTGACATTTCCATAAAACTCATCAGATATGTCATGTACCCCTTCATGTCTATGTACTGCTTGTGAATCCAGATTATTGATGTTCCTCCAGTACGTGCGAGTGAGAGTGTATGTGATTGGACATTTATCTGATTGGATCCCAGTGGTGGCCGACCACATTGACCACATGCTGTTCTAATGGCCAGGCACATGTGTCTGCATGTGAAAAAACAACTGTGGAGTGGAATCTTCCTCTTTGAGCAGATTCATGTTTTCATTGTGTTGCAAAGCTTACTGTGAGAACTTGAGCTCTGGACTGTTTGTTTATGTGTTGTGAATCTACTGCCCTCTTTACACTGCAAATGTAGAAGCTGCATCTGAAAATGCATTTACAGACTATTAATGCTGCAGATAGGCAACATTTTTTTTTATTTTGTTGCACAATGTTACTATATTATCGCCCAGCTCTTCATATAAACTTATAGTAGAATACTTGCATATATAGCATATCTCAACTGCTTGATTGCTTGCATCATTGCATATGTATAATATGTAAATGTAGTATATTATCTAAAAGCTCTAATATACTAAATGCAACTATAAGGCATGAGCATAGTAAGATGTTATAAACATTAACATCATTATTTTCTTTAAGGATAGCTTTGAAACAGTGTGCACTGTGAAAAGTTGAGAAAAAATACATTTACACAGAAATTTCAACAGCAAAAACAGTGTTATAAAATGAATGATTTATGATTTTATAATAAATTATAAATGCATAGTATATTTTGTCATGAAAGGCTGGTATGATGCTATAATGCTGCATTGCATTAGCACTTGAACAATATAATAGTACCATTGGTTATTGGCTGATATTAGATATTTTAATTTATCGATATGTGTTGTTATTGTATAGCCTACGCGCTAGCCGATATTGAATATTTCATTGTGCATATTCATTTAAAGTTCATTCTTTAAAAACACTGATTTGGGAACTCTATTAAATGTAATCTTAGCTAATAGCTATCTTTATTTTAGAATGAAATAAAAAAAAAAAAATTAATCTTGTACATTATAATTTTAAGATGCCTATTCACTTATAGCATATAAAATAATTTATTTACATTTTTAGTGATTTCTTTGAATTTAATTATATAATGCAGAATTTGGTTACACTTTATATCAAGGTCCATTCTCGCTATTAACAAACCATTAACTACAACTTTTGCCTCAATAAACTCCTAATTTGCTGCTTATTAATAGTTAGTTAGGTAGTTGTTAAGTTTAGGTATTGGGTGGGATTAGGGATGTAAAATATGGTAGAATATGTGCTTTATAAGTACTAATAAACAGCAAATATGTTAATAATAGACATGTTAATAAGCAAATAGTTAATAGTGAGAATTCGTCCCTATACTAAAGTGTTACCCAGAATTTTAATATCAGCCATCTAACATGATAAATTATTATCGGTATCGACTACATTTTAATATCGGTGATCTCTAATTAACACAGAGCGAAACAGCCTCAGAGTCACCTTTGACACTAGAGCCTTAAATCTGTTGAAGATGTCACAAATCTGTTGAATTCTGCATGCATTTAAATGGAAAATTCAACAGAGGTGCATTTTGCACATGAGTTATTAATGCTTTATGCTTTTCCAGCCACATATGAGTGTGCCTGTGACATAAATCTTCTGTAAGTATGGCTTTTGAGGCTCTATTCAATTTTACATCTGAGAAATGATCCGCACCCCCTCACAAGCCCATC